TCTCACATATTCACATGCACACGTGCATGCACACACATAAATTCACACACAGGCACATACACATAGTCACTTACACACATGCAGCAGGGCTGAGCAGGAAGTCGGCTGGCCCACAATGACAGGATCACCTCAAGAGCTGTCTGGATCCTGGCACCAGATCCCCGCCTCCCTGCTCCCCACAGGGCCTGCCCACTTCCTAAACGCTTTCTGGGTTTTTCTCTCTCTGAGACATTTTGGAGTCACAGAGCCGGGGTGGGGGGGGGGGGGATGGGGTCATCTCTAGGCACCCCAGGGAAAAACTAGGCTAAGAAAGGCAGTGTCAGTAGCACAGCGGGTAGGGCATTTGACTTGCACGCAGCCAACCTAGGTTCGATTCCCAGCATCCCATATGGTCCCCTGAGCACCGCCAGGAGTAATTCCTGAGTGCTTAAACCAGGAGTAACTCCTGTGCATCGCCGGGTGTGACCCAAAAAGAGAAAAAAAAAAAAAAAGAAAGCCAGTGTCCTGCGCTGCAGGGAGAGTGAGGAAGGAGCCTCCAGGTCACCAGCACAAAGTATAAAGTGAGAATCAGTCGCATAACTGGGACCAGGCCACCCCGTGCCTTCATGCTGAGCCGTCTCTGATGACGGAGACAGACTTGTCAGAAGCCCTCATATAAGCTCATGGTGGGGGAGGGGGTTGATGAGGGTCCTGGAGAAACTAGGGCTAGGGGTCTACTCTGTCAGCACCTGCAGAGCTCAGGGCCCGTTTGCTCCAGCCCCTGAGAGCTCTCCTTTGCTTTCTCCATGAGACCCCCAGATTTGACCCACCCCCCTCCCAGTCTTTGCCCTAGATTCAATTCAGTCCACAGCCCCCCACTTCCCCACGCCCCTGGCTGTGCTGCTAAGCTCCCCTTACCTCCACAAGGGAAGGGCCACAGGTACCCCTGAGCTCTTCCCTGCTGGGGGTGAGGGGTCTAGGGGCTGCTGGGACATGGTAGGTGGGTCGTGCGGGCTCCTTTCAGTTTGTATGACCAGGGCTCTGTAGGCTTCCCTGCCCTCTCCCTCCCTCTGCCTCTTTCACCTTTCCTCCCCTAACCTGGTGTTGTGGCAGCCCTGAGTGGGGCTGGGCTTCTGGAGGGGCCTCTGGGGGCCCCTGAAATCTTTGAACACCCTGACTTTCTGATCTGCCCTGTCCCGCCTGTCCCAGCCTGCTGCGGGGAGTCCCCTCCCCTGCGAAGCCCCGCCCCACCTCGGCCTTGCTTCTTGGAATTAGGAAGTGGGGCCTGGGCGCTCCTCACAGAGGCCCGGAGGCCGGGCAGCCCCGTGGCCACGCTGCCTGGCAGTGACAGGGAGCGCCAAGGTCAAGAGGAGGAAGAGCCACATAGTCCTGTCTCATGGCACCCTGGAGGGGGAAGGTGACCCTGAAGGGTGTTGGGGGGGGAGGGTCATCTGCTCTCAGGGGCCTAGCTCCTGGGCATTGCTGGAAATCCTGAAGCCCTTCTGACAAAAGCTTTGGACTTGGAGTGGCTGCCCAGCTCATATTCCCCAGACTGGACTTTCTTCATCCTAGAGGGAGCGGCACCAGCCCAAAGGACTCTCTGAGTCAGGCCAGTGACTTGGCTTCTTTTTTGCATGTGGGGCACACCAAAAGCTCCTTGGACCTTCCCCCTCAACCCTCTTTTTCTGGAAGGACATGGCAGACTGTCTTTCAGTAAATCCAGGGAGCTTCTCTGCTCTGAAGAAAGAGGAAGGAGCCTGTGGAAGTGGGAAGTCCCCCGGCTCTGTGGGAAGCCTTCCTCAGGGGCGGCAGCAGCCCTGAGTCACAGAAGGTTCCTATCCACATGGATTCCTCCCCACTTGTCCTCCCTCCTGGGGCAGCCAACTCTGGGGGATGAGGCTGGAGAAGTTGGAAGGAGACCTGAGGGGGCAGAGAGGGCTCTGTGGCCCCAGTCACTGAAGGCTCCCAGGGGAGGCCACAAGAAGCAAAGAGGAAGGGAGAGGGCAGGAAGAAGGAAGACCCACTGCAGGTAGACGGGATGGGCAGAAAGTTCTGGAAAAGCAGGAGTCAGGGATTCTCAGATTAGGAGAGAGGCAGGAGCAGTCAGAGCCCCAGAGGTAACATTCAGCCAAGTGGGAGCAGGAATGACCCCTGCAACATGTCTCCCACAAAGGGGATAAGATAAAAGACAAATGTACCAAATTTCGGGATTCAGGGATGATCCTCCAGGAACCGAGGAAGCAGAAGGGTTCTGAGCCGGGGTGTAGGCTGGGCCGGGAGGGGAAGCAGCTAATGCAATAGTCCAGGTGTGAGATAAGCCCTGCGGAGGTGTGGATAGGAGGCTAGCGTAGGGTTTGAGGGAACCCCGAAAGTGGAGGGAACTGCAGGGCGAGAGCGCAGCTGCACCTGGGGGAGGCAGGGACAAAGTCAACCCTGAGGAAATGGGGTTGGAGTGAGGGACCTGCAGGGTTCAGAGGAAAGCTGTCCCCTCCACACACACACACAGCAACCTTGGCAATGCTCCAGGTGCCCACCGCCAGCAGGCACAGAAGCCACAGCTTCCTTGAAAATATTGGCTGTTCCATCTGGGGGTTTAAGATAGACTCCCCAGACGGTGCATGTTCCTCTGCACCAGGCTGGCTCTGGCCTCCTGCCCTGGGTCACGGTCCCACTCTTGCGCTTTCAGGCCCGCCAGGTAACTCTGGGAAGGCCAGGAGAGCCGGGCGGGGCAGGAGTATGGAGGTATCAGGTCTCACTAGAGGACGAAAGGCTCTGAGTGTCTCCGAAGAGGAAGGACGCTCCCTCCCTGCTTAATAATAGTAATCATCTCCGTTACCATTGACGGCCCGGCAGGCGCCACGTCACACACTTGATCTCCTTAATCCTTGCAGCAACTCCCAGACCTGGTCCCTTCCCCACTTACAGATGAAGTAGTCACTTTGAACTTTCAACCCAGGTCATTCCATCTCCAGAAGTTCTGCTGTTTTCCTGTACCATTTGCTTCTCATTTCTCCACGGTAATGTCTCACAGGGCTGGAGCGATAGCACAGCGGGTAGGGCGTTCGCCTTACATGCGGCCAACATGGCCGACCCGAGTTCGATTCCTCCGCCCCTCTCGGAGAGCCTGGCAAGCTACCGAGAGTATTCGATATGCCAGACACAGTAACAACAAAGTCTCCAATGGAGACGTTACTGGGCCTTTTAATGTCTCACATGCCATCGCTCCTATTCACCTCTGCCCATGTCTTCTCCAAAACACCAGTGATGGATTCGCTCAACAAGCATCTGTTGAGTCTTAGTTAAGCACCAGCAAGGGTCTAGGCACAGGCACCCAAAGGCACTTCATCTTATTAATATCATAGGTGCAATCTTAACATTAGAAATAATAATGATAGGGCTGGAGCAATAGCACAGCGGGTAGGGCATTTGCCTTGTGCGCGGCCAACCCAGATTCGATTCCCAGATCCCATATGGTCCCCTGAGCACCACCAGGGCTGATTCCTGAGTGCAGAGCCAGGAGAAACCCCTGTGCATCACCGGGTGTGACCCAAAAAACAAACCAAAAAAAAAGCAAGAAAAAATAATAACTCTCTTCACATTTTGCATAACCCTTGACTGCCAATTAGACTCATTTGATCGTCACAACAACCCTCTGAAGTATTGTCCCATTTTTCTAATGAGAAACTGAGGTTCTGGGCCAGGAAGATGACTCAAAAGTCTGCAACACAGACTTTGTATGTGGAAGCTCTGGATTGGATCTCCAACATTCAGGGGCCCTGAGCACCCACCACTGAGAATGCTCACACACACCCCTCACCCCTACCCCAGCACGAATGGGCGTGGCATAAAACAAGGAAAGAAAAAGAAACCGAGGTCCAGAGAGACCTGCTGGCATCTGCCTCGCCAGTAAAGCCGAGTTCTGGGTTTCTGGACACTAGTCAATGTGTGCTCCATCCTCCCCACCCTCACATACTGCTGCCCTCCCATTCACCTGGGTTCCCATGAGAGTTGAGGGGCATCCCTCATCTGGGGAGGGTGCAAGGACGGGGGGCGGAGAGGTGGGGCATTTCCTCACTTTCAATCTCATCTCCCACCAAACTGCCACAGCATCTGACACTCCGCAGGTCCTGGACACGACACGTCCTCTCTAAGCTGCCCTCTCCCTCCCCCTTCCTCGAAGGTCCTCCACGTGGACTTCTGCCAGCTCCAGGGAAGGCGGGAGACCACGGAAACCAGCTGTGGTTGGGGGGAGAAGGTTCCTGTGGGGAGCTCCTCTGGGCCTCAGGGGCCCTGGCACTCAGCTCTGCCCGGCTCGGCTTCTGGAACGTCAGCACGGTTGCGCAAAGAGCGAGGAGGAGAGACACAGTACACAAGGGTGGGGGAAAGGTTAGGACAGGAAGCCGTGGGAGCGCCGAGCTGACCATCCCGATCCCCCAAACACACCACTGTCCCCGGGACGCCTGTGAGTGAAGGCCTGGGTCCCTTGCTCGAGAAGGGCCTCCGGGGGACCCTGCCACCCCTCGCCACCCCCAGCCCCCAGCAGGCTCTTTCTGTTTCCTCCTAGCGAACTGACTGAGTAGTAGGAGGCTTTCTGCCAGGGAAACTGAGGCCTGGAGAGGTGGAGCGGCTGGAGGGGGCACCAGGGGCCGGCGTGCGGTGGGTAGGTCCGAGCAACATGCTGATCCTGCCTTTGTACCCTCACCTCCCTTCTGCCTGCTGTTCGGCGGGGGTGATGGTGATGTCACAGGTGTGGAGTGCCAGCCACGTGCTGGGCGCCAAGTAAAACAGCCAGGGCGAGTGCGTGCATCATCGGTGCCTGGGAAGGAAGGCCACCGAGAGAAGTGAGTGCGGCGGAGAGACCGGAGCCAGGGCAGGGAGGCACCTCCTGGGTGGGGCGGGAAGTCCAGAATAAAACTCTGCAGCGGCGAAGACTCGGGAGAGGAGGCCCAGCTGGCCCTGGGGAGAGATGCCCCTCATCCTCCCCACCACTGCCTCTCCCAGAGCCCGTCCATGCCCCAGACATGAGCCAGCCCAGGCCCCGCTACGTGGTGGACAGAGCCGCATACTCCCTCACCCTCTTCGACGAGGAGTTTGAGAAGAAGGAGCGGACGTACCCACTGGGAGAGAAACTTCGTAATGCCTGCAGGTAAACATGGCCCCGAGCCAGAACCTCTTTCCTCCACTCCCCACCCCAATCCTGCTTGGCCAGACCATGGCCCTCCACCAGGTTCCTAGGCTAGGGTTCCGGGAAGTTCTGAGGCAGGGCGCTTCCAGAACCCTGGTTCTGAGATCCAACCACCTCATATGGACCCAAGCGTCCCGGGGAGGATGGAGACCAGAACAAGGACCAATCTCAGCTTCAGGAAGCTTCTAGGAACTGCAGGGTTGTGAAGGGATCTGAAGAAGGGGCTGGCTCCAGGTCCCGACTTCTCTTTATCAAGGGAAGTCCACAGAGACCACCCCTCAGGGCTCCCTCTCCCCTTTCCCACTCTTGATTCTCCTGGTCCAGTGGGTGTTTGAAGCCAGCCCCAAGATGCTGGGGCTCTCCTACCTGGAACCGACCAGGAGGTGATGCCACCAGCTCCAGGCTCTTTCCGTTCTCCTCTCAGGCCCTTGGAACTGAGCAGGCAGGGGCTGCTGGAGGGATCGAGACACTGGGGAGCCTGAGGCTACAGGGCTTCCCCCTTCACTCAAGCCTAGCTGGAACTGGCTGGCTCTTCCTCACTCCCCTGGGGAAACAGCTGATTCAGTTACATGGATTGAGGTCACTGGCCGTGAAGTGGAGATGCAGGCGGAACTGGTTTGGGCTGGGGAATCACACACTTGAGTCTTCGCTGAAAGCCTCAGCCCAGCCCTACTTCTCCAGGGAGGCTCCATCTCTGCCCAGTCACCATCAAGGCTTGAGCTACCCAGTGGCCAGACTCTCCATGTTTTTGAAAGCAGGAGGTCTATGCCAGTCATTGCACCCACGGAGTAAAATTTGGGCTATTTCTGTTCTGATATCCTAAGCGATTCTAATGATGAAAATGCTCAAGTGCTGTGGGAAGCTAACAATCCCCTGAGGCTAACACAGAGAAGGTGTTCTGGTGATGCAGAATGAATGAATGAATGAATGAATGCATGTCCTCCCGTTAACTCTTCTCTCCACTTCCTTCATGACCTCCAGAACTTCTAAGTGTTCAGCATCTGTTCCCAGCCCTGCTCTCAGGCTTCAGGATTGCTTTGCTCACATCGGGCAGCCTTGTGAGCTGGGCAGGTACGAGTCCTCAAGTGAATTGTTTTTCTTCCCAGCCAGCTCTCAACTCCCGAGGCTGGCACTCCCTGCCCCTGACAAGCCTAGAGTTCCTGCAGGGCTGGTTCTCTCTGCGTGCAACGTTTTAGAGAGGCTTCAGACAGCTTCCACTGCCCAGTTCCCCACCACCATCCCAGAGGCAAGAGAGGTTCCATCTTCCCAGAGGAAACAGGGGTCCGGCAGCAACCATGGTGCTGCCCCACACTGGTCAGAACAGAAAACCTGGGCACAAAGCACTGTCTGTTGCTTTGAGTCTTGGGTGACATCCAAGGGACCTAATGTCAGGGAAACTATTGTTGAGCAACAGTAAAAAGCAGGAATTGGTGGTGGGCAGGAAGGAGGCCTAATCAGAGCAGGCCAGTGAGTCACCAAAGGGCCCTGAGTATTTGAGTTCCCATGACAAGGAGAAGAAAAGCAAATGACCCCCTCCCCTCCCGCCATCAATCCAGCAGCTGTCACCCTCCGGTTTGTAGGGAGCCTTGTTCCTACTGCTCCTGAGGTCTGTGAAAGGACCTCAAGGTGTTCGACAAACAGGAAAGGGATCAACTCTCCCCACCCTGCTTTAACCGGCAAACAGCTCCTCCCGCCCCTCGTCTCCCTTCCCCCCAATGACTTCACAGGGCAAAAGACCGCTCACACCTGAGTCCTCCCACTCACTGGACTTTCAGCCCCTGGCCCCTTCTTCCCAGGCCGCCACACACACGCAATGTGGGTGGTTGCGAATTTTTGATTCATTTCCATGAATGAGTGAATGGAGTGAATGCATGCCCCTGGGGACAAGCCACAAGGACAGTCCAGGCTTGAAGCGCTGACGGGAACCAACCCTGCCCCTCCCCTGCAGATGTTCCTCCGCCAAGATCAAAACCACGGTGCTGGGGCTGCTGCCGGTGCTCTCCTGGCTCCCCAAGTACAAGATCAAAGACTACATCGTCCCGGACCTGCTCGGGGGACTCAGCGGGGGCTCCATCCAGGTCCCACAAGGTGAAGGCTTCTCCTCAGCCAGGCCTTCCCCCAATGCCTCTCCCCCCTCCCCGCCCCACCCTGTGTCTTCTGTGGCAGTCACACACCTGAGCCATCCACCCTTCATCTTTCACAGGCATGGCGTTTGCTCTGCTGGCCAACCTTCCTGCAGTCAACGGCCTCTACTCCTCTTTCTTCCCCCTCCTGACCTACTTCTTCCTGGGGGGTATCCACCAGATGGTGCCAGGTAAGGCCTTTCGCTTGCAGCAGGCAGGAGGACCTGGACCACGGGAAGTGGCCGATGGTTTCAGGGGCTTCCTCCCTCACAGGCTGTCTGTGAGTGTCAGACAGGCCTGTGACCTTGGAGTAACTACTTTATGCCTGTGAGCTCAGTCTCACTGCCTGTTCTGTCTCCCTCTCTGGAACATGGCCTAGTCTCCTCTTGGCCCAAGAAAATGTGTCACATGTTGCAGCGCTAAGCCGCTGTGAGGGTCGTCATGCCACATAGGGGTGCTAGCAGACCCAGGGGCCTGGGTACCTTGTGAAATGAAAAATGGGGTTCATCATGAGACCTGGCTTCAGGGCCAGGTGCTATATTTCCAAATTTATTTCCAGGGGCTGGTGGATAATAAGTGCCCCGTTGAGGTGAGGGTACCACATAGTGTAGCCCACAGCTAGTGGGAGCTGTAGGTGTTAGGCTGGGGTAGTGTCTTGGAAAAGTGAGGGGTCAGTCTCCAGCGCAACGGTGGCATGCCTGGGCCCCTCTGGTTCCCCTGGGTGCAGAGCAACCCTCTGACTTGTGCTGGCTGGGTGGGGCACCACAGGTACCTTTGCCGTTATCAGCATCCTGGTGGGTAACATCTGTCTGCAGCTGGCCCCAGAGTCGAAATTTCAGCTCTTCAACAATGTCACCAACAAGAGCTACGTGGACACTGCGGCCATGGATGCAGAGCGGCTGCATGTGTCTGCGACGCTGGCATGCCTGACAGCTGTCATTCAGGTGAGACTCCCACCCCTTCCCAGCCCGCCTCCACTTCCGGGGTTAAAGGTGATTAGACGCTCTGCTTTCTCTCCTTCCCCATTCCCCAAACTACAGAAAGCCCGGACAGTTTCCTGGCAGGGCCACAAGAGCCGCAGCCGCTCCAGGTTTCTCCCATCCTGGGTTTCTCCCCTCTCTCCCCTTTACTCCCCTGTTCAGCCTCTGTGCCCAATCATCAGTCCCCCCAACACACTTTTCCCGCTACGGCCACCCCATCTGTACCCAGAGTCAGGAGACTCTGACAGAGGCTGGGAAAGAACACGACGACAAAATGCAAGAGTAGGACGCACCCCGGAGAGCACCTTCCGTCACTCATTTCAGCCACACTTTTCCCCTGCATCAGGAACTGGGCTAAGACCGCAGGGTCCAAAATAACTATGAAAGACCCATTTCTCACAACGCTCAGCAGAGAAAGCGACTGTCTCAACAGGCACATTCGTAGGCAGCGAGGCGAGCGATGGGAGAGGCTGTGCTGATTGCCGTGGGGGTGCCACAAGGAGAATCAGGGAGACGCTCTCCTCCATCATGATGGCCAGTCTGGAAGGAGGAGCAGAAGTTGATCGGGAAGGGCAGGCTGGACCGAAGGAACAGTCCACAGAACAGAGTGGGGACAGACCAGGGAATGGCGAGGCAAGCCGTGTGGTGTGACCAGAGAGTCAGGGGCCTTTTCGGGATAGACCAAAGAAGAATCTGGAAAGGTCTTCAAGGGTCAACGATGAGACCTGTCTCCGAGCAGCTGCTTTGTGTCTCATTGGGAGTCTCTGAAGATCTACCAGGCAACAGAGATGACAGGTGGAAAGTGGTTGAGAATCAGGGGACCTATGGGGACAGCATGTGTGGACCAGGAAGAGCCTATGAGCGACTAGACCACGGTGACAACTGTCGAGATAGAGTGCATTTGAGGCCATCTTGCCAGGAGCATTCACAGGGCCTGGTAAGAGCCAGGACAATAATTCCCAAGCACTTGAATGACCCACTGGGTGGTGGTGGAGTCATCTTCAGAGAGAAAAAATTGGGGGAAGACAGGTTTGTTCTCTGTGTGAAGAAACTGAAGCCCAAGAGATTCAGGAGTGAAGGGGCCTGTGCCTGTGGGTCTCAGGCCTCCTGGGTCACTCGAGGAGAGGACAAGTCATGAAGGGCTTCCTTCCCCGGGGTTCCTGCCCTCCTTGGACAGCACAGAACGCGTGTGTGAGCCCGCTGACGCTGTGCCTCCCCTCCACCACCTCTCTCCTCTCAGATGGGCCTGGGCCTGGTGCAGTTCGGCTTTGTGGCCATCTACCTCTCTGAGTCCTTCATCCGGGGATTCATGACAGCAGCCGGTCTGCAGATCCTGATCTCGGTGCTCAAGTACATCTTCGGACTGACCGTCCCTTCCTACACAGGCCCAGGATCCATCGTCCTTGTGAGTCTAGGAAGGACCCCAGCAAACGGGAGGGCTCAAGCAGATACAGGGGCTGTTTGCCAAAGGGGTGAGCTCCTCCTTGGGAAATGTTCTCAGGCCAGGACTGTCCAACCCACAGTGCTGGGCGCCACTGTGGAGTGTGTGTGTGTGTGTGTGTGTGTGTGTGTGTGTGTGTGTGTGTCGGGGGGGGCGGTGGTCAAACTCATGCCTCTGAGGGCTGGCTGAGCTTCTTAGTGGAACCCTTAATCCCTGCAGAAAAGGAAACACACATTCTGTAGCAGCAGTTTTCAACCGTTTCACTCCCGCAGACCCGCACAGGCCCACAGGAGCATGTTGAAAATCCCTAATTGGGGCTGGAGCGATAGCACAGTGGGGAGGGCGTTTGCCTTGCATGCAGCTGACCTGGGTTCGATTCCCAGCATCCCATATGGTCCCCCGAGCACCACCAGGAGTAATTCCTGAGTGCATGAACCAGGAGTAAACCCTGTGCATCGCCGTGTGTGACCCAAAAAGCAAATTAAAAAAGAAAAAGAAAATTACTACTTGTGCCTCAGTAGTTGAACAGCAAAGGTCTCCCTGCCTGAGCTCTGATATCCCTCCTCCTTCAGTGTGAACTCTAATGAGGAGGAGAAAGGGAATGAGCATTCCCACCCAGGTTCACACCATGTAGGAATGCACCGGGCCACAGTTGAGACCGCTGGGCCCGGGGATGCTGAGCAAGACATTCTCTCGCAGACCTTCATTGACATCTGCAAAGGCCTCCCGCACACCAACGTGGCTTCACTCATCTTCGCGCTCATCAGCGGTGTGTTCCTGGTGCTGGTGAAAGAACTGAACGCACGCTTCATGCACAAGATCCGCTTCCCCATCCCTACGGAGATGATCGTGGTAAGACACTCATCCAGTGGGAGGGGCCAGAGAGGAGAGGCCACAGGAAAAGGAAGTCAACACTAGTCAGGGTCAAGGGCAACCCCTCCACTTATTACCAGCACACCCCACTGTGAGCACAGTGAAACAGGAAGTCAGGAGAATGACTTCTCCTAGAGGAGGTATGGAGGAGGGTTTGGGGTCCCCGGAGGATAGGGACTCCTTGGGGAGACCCTGCTCGAGGCTCCCACTTAAAGCCCATCTGCTTTGGGGTTTGCAGGTGATAGTGGCCACAGCCGTCTCTGGGGGTTGTCAGATGTACAAAAAGTACCACATGCAGGTCGTGGGAGAGATCCAGCCTGGGTGAGTCCCGCTGCCAGAGAGCCCCCGCCCCTCCCAGCCTGGGCCTCACTGCCCCTCCTTACCTCCGTCTTTTCTTGTGGTTGTTTAGTTTGGGGGCCACACCTGGCAGTGCTCAGGGCTTACCCCTGGCTCTGCACTCAGGGGAGACTCCTGGTGGGGCTTGGGGGAACCAAACCCAGGTCAGCTGTGTGCAAGACAAGTGCCCTACCCACTGTGCTATCTCACTGGCTGCCTAGCCAAGTCTGACCCCCAGTGCCCTCCTCGCCCCCAGACCGAGGGGAACCCTATCAGTGTGCTCTGGAGAGCATAGCGACTCAGGTGGGGGTTGGGGCGGGAGGGTTGTGTAAGGACAGGCCTGGACTGCAGAGTGGAAGCGGTTCTGGGGCTGCCTCTCCACGGAGGGAGTCTCTGCACAGTGAGCTCAGCCCCTGGGCCTGGGAGTGGAGTGCTGAGAGCAAAGGAGGGTGCTGGCCTTGCCCTTTGTAGGGGGTGGGGGACTCCCACATGGATTGGAACCGGCCTCTGCGTCCGCTCACCCTGCCTGCTCTGGCTCCCGCAGCTTCCCCACCCCCGTGTGGCCCGTGGTCCAGCAGTGGAAGGACATGATTGGCACCGCCTTCTCGTTGGCCATCGTGGGCTATGTCATCAACCTGGCCATGGGTCGCACCCTGGCCAACAAGCATGGCTACGACGTGGACCCAAATCAGGTGGGTAGAGGCTGCAGGGGGCCCTCCCAGGGGCTTTGGGCGGAGGAAAGGCCAGTTGCCGGCCCATGGGGAGGGGAGATGGGGTCCGGAGAGGTTCTTCTAGATTGGGGGCTGGGGGGAGCTTCATAGCAGTGGGGTCACTTTCACGTCCTCAGCTTAACGAAGAGGCACTTCTCAGCCTCTCCATTCCCGTGAGTGCCTGTGCGGCCAGGCCTGACCCTCTCCCGAGCCTGCCTGTCCCCACCTCTGCCTGTCCTTGTCTGTCCCTGCCTTTCCCCACCTGTCCCCTTCTGTCCCCACAGGAGATGATTGCACTGGGCTGCAGCAACTTCTTCGGCTCCTTCTTTAAAATCCACGTGATCTGCTGTGCCCTGTCGGTCACTCTGGCTGTGGACGGGGCAGGAGGGAAGTCACAGGTGAGCCCCACCCCTCTTCCTGCCCTGCTTGGGCCCACAGCCCAGTGCTGCATGCCCTCTGACCTCTTCTTCTGAATAGGTGGCCAGCCTGTGCGTGTCCCTGGTGGTGATGGTCACCATGCTGGTGCTGGGGTCCTACCTCTACCCTCTCCCCAAGGTAAGATGCACCCACCCGAGACTGCATTCCTCATCCGATTGCTCGGTACCTCCCCATTTCCAGGGAAGGGTAGCTGGGTCGAGAGGGGGAGGGGTTGGCCCTCTGACTCATTCGCCACTCAGGGCCCGGGAGCGGGGGGGGAGGGGGTCCCTAGATAGGGGAAAGACCAACGAAGGCAACACGGGCCTGACCTCAAACCCTGCACTCCTAACTTATGCTGAGAGCAGCACTTTGGGCTCTGCGGGCTGCCGTGTCCCAGAACCCGGGCTCCCTGTGAGGAAGGGGCAGGAGGGTGACTCGAGCCGTGCTCTGACCACCCCCCCAGTCGGTGCTAGGAGCGCTCATCGCCGTCAACCTCAAGAACTCCCTCAAACAACTGGCTGACCCCTTCTACCTGTGGAGGAGGAGCAAGCTGGACTGTGTAGGTACCAAGGCCCCAGGGCTCCCCCTGAACCCCCTCCTCCAGCCCTGTACCTCGCTCCCCTACTACAGATGACCCCCATGCTGGCTGCTCCCTCATAAGCATAACTGAGTCTTAAGTCCCGGATTTTGAGGTGACTCATCCTGTTCTTGGGTGTGAATGAACTCAACTGTTCATTGACTTTTTGGCCGGAAACAAGTCCCTGAACCTCTCAGGTTCTCAGCTTCCTCACCCGTGAAATGGGTATTTTGTATCACTTAGCCCTGGGGGTTGCTTAGGAGGATGAAATGAAAGAATACATCTATTTAAAGAAGCAGCATGTCGTCATCTGAATTGTGCCCCAAAAGTCTTAGCTATTCATAGAGTTAGGATTTCTAGTTTGTTTGCTTTGGGTATTTGGGCCACACCCAACAGGGTTTACCCAACAGGTCTCTGAGCTCAGGGCCCATTCCTGCTGGGGACTCAGGGAACCACATGGGGTGCCGGGGATTGAACCTGGGTTGGCTACACGAGGCGGGTGCTCTATGTATCTTATCTCTCCAGCTCTGATTTGTAGTTTTTTTAAAAAAAAATTTTGAGTTTTGGGGCCATACCCAGAGATGCTTAGGGGTTACTCCTGGCTCTACACTCAGGGACCACTCATGGTGGTGCTCGAAGGGATCATATAGGATGCTGAGGATTGAGCCCAAGTTGGATCCATGCAAGGCAAGTCCCCTCCCTGCTGTGCTATTGCTCTGGCCCCTATAGTTTTGGGGTTTGTTTTGTTTTGTTTCGTTTTTTAAGCAAAAAGAGGGCTGAGAGATGGCTCTAAGGACTAGGACATATGCTTTTTTGCAGGAGTCCTCTGCTTCACCCTGGCACGATATGGTCCTCTGAGCTCTGCTGGGAGCGGCCCCCAGGCCCCCGAGTACCATCAGGGTGTGCCATTCCCACCCTCCCAAAATAAATCTGTGGCCCGAGAACTAGCTCAAAGGTCTGGCTACATACTTTGCATGTGGGAGGCCCAGGTTCCGTTCCCAACACAGGCACCACAGGGTTCCCTGAGTGCCACCAGGAGTCACCCCTGGGCAAAGAGCTGGGAGTAGTTCTCAAGCAGATTGGGGTGTGATCTCCAACCCAAATCAAACCAAACCAAAGATGAGAGCATAAAGCTAGCAAACTGGGATCTCGAGCAAGTCACCAGACTTCAGGAGCTCAGGGTCCTCCTCTGAGAGGGAGTGATAGTCATGGCAATGTCACACAGTCCGTGTGTGGAAGGCACCAGAACAGAAGAGCCGGGGATTCCACTCTCATATCTGCACCCAACGACACCCGGAGTTTCCCCACCACACGCCTCCTGTGGCCTGTGACAGAGGGGAGCTCCCTTCATTTGAAAGATGACATCAGGACCCTGAGAGGCAGAGTTAGCAAAAGCCCAAAGGCAGGAGGTAAGCAGGTCAGGACTGGGGTCCCAAGCCTCTGACCCCATCCCCCCGGGCTGCTGACTCCAAGACAGGAAGTGCATGTGCATTGTCCTCAGGAGGAAGTCTAAAGCCGGAGAAGTGAGGGTCCATCGAGGTGGGTGATCAGGACAGGGAGCAAGAAGACCCACTTCACAACCTCAGGCTCTGCTCTTCACGCCTCTGCCCCAGCTGCCCACACAGTGTGTGGGTGCAGCTGATCTTCACCGTTCTATAAGCACCCACAGACTCAGCTGTCCTAGAGGAATATGGGGGTACATGGAGAAAAACTAATAAACTGCATCCTGTCTCACACCCCGACTCAGACAATCAAGCCAGGGAGCATCCTTAATCGAAGGATATGCAGCCACTGTTAGAGGGAGAGGGGGTCTCATCCAGTGTCTCTCACCAAGCTGGAGCCCTCCCTCCCTCCCTCCCTTCCTCCCAACCTCCCTCCCTCCCTTCCTCCCATCCTCCCTCCCTCCCTCCCTCCCTCCCTCACTCACTCACTCCTCTGTCTTTTTTCTCCCTTTCTCCCTCCCTCCCAAGCTCCCTCTCTCCCTCTCTCCCTCTCTCTCTCCCTCCCTTCCTCCTTCTCTCCTTTTCTCCTTCCCTCCCTTCCTTCCTTCTTTCCTCCATTCCTTTCTTCATCCTCCCTCCATGCCTCCCTCCCCTCCTCCCTCCCTCTCTCCCTCCCTTTCTTTCTTCCTTCTTTCCTTCTTCTTTCCTTCCTTCCTCCTTCTTCCTTCCTTACTCTTTCCTTCCTTACTGTTTCCTCCTTCCCTCCTTCTTTCCTTCCTTCCTTCTTTCCTTCCTTCCTTCCTCCTTCCTTAGGCAGTGTTAGTCCCTCAGGATTAAGCAACTAGTATCACTTAGCAAGCAAATAAAGGAACTTGAAACCCAGGCACACCTGATCTGAGACTTGTGCCCTTCCAGGCCAAGCTGCCTTCTGTGAGTACTAGGGTTGCCTTTTGAGTCAGAACAGTTTGAGGAAACCAGCCAGAAGAAAGTTAGTGGAAATGAGCAGGTGTAACCATAGCACAAAAACATAAAACAGCACAAAAATGCATGAAAAGGGAAGGGTGTGTCTGAGGTCCTCCTAGCAGAGAATGGCCTAGGCTAATTCAGGAAGACTTCCTGAAAGAGGCAGTTTCCCCCAGGCCTACTCTGACATCTCTCTCCTCGCAGTGTGTCTGGATGGTGAGCTTCCTCTCCTCCTTCTTCCTGAGTCTGCCGTATGGTGTGGCTGTGGGCGTCGCCTTCTCTGTCCTGGTTGTGGTCTTCCAGACCCAGTTGTGAGTAGCAGCCCATCCCTGGAACCCATAGAGGGGGCCTTAGGCAAGCCCACTAAGAGCTTCCGGCCAAGTCCTGGCCTACTGTACCCTGACACCTTCCTGAGGTGCCACCAGGCTTGAAGGGAATCTGACCAGCCCAGGACTGACTCCACATCTTGATTTTAGAGGGAGAAAGTTGGGACAAAGCAGGTGGGTGAAACTCCACGTCCTTCCAAAGGCTCTTCCAGGCCCTTGGACAGATGCTGTGTCCTTCCTGAAGAACAAATCAGCATCCGGCCCAAATGCACAGACCCGGGGAGGCTGGGAGGGGGCGGGTAGGAGGCCGGGCAGGGTAGGGCAGGCAAGCTGCTGAGTGTCAGGGAAGTCCTGTCATCCTGAGAATTTAACATCAGCAGGTGGTGATTTGGGGGCCATGGAGCCTTTCACCTGGTGCCCTTCCCGCCTCCCAGCCTGTCAGTGAGCAAAGTCGTCCTGCGAGTTTGGCACCAACATGAGCACCAGGCAGGCAGCTCCACCCACCCCATGGCCCTTGCATGCTCTCTCATGCTTCTCTCCTTCTTCTTCACCCAGTCGAAACGGCTATGCTCTGGCCCAGGTCCTGGATACGGACATTTATGTGAACCCCAAAACCTACAACAGGGTGAGTCCCCATGCCGTGAAGGCCCCCTTTGCCTTGCTCCACCCCAAGGAAAGGATTTTTAAAAAAATAATAAGAAGAACGTTTAATACCAGTCATTTGCTAACTGAGCTCAGTCTCTCTGTCACAGGTCCAGGAAATAGAAGGGATTAAAATTGTCACTTACTGCTCCCCTCTCTACTTTGCCAACTCAGAGATCTTCAAGCAAAAGGTCATTGCCAAGGTATGACTCGAGGCACCTGAGCCCACAGGGGCTGGGCGCACTGAGAGGGGATGGAAGGTGGGGGCCTGGGAGCCGAGGGGTTGGGTGGAGACCACTGCTGCCTCCCTCCCCGCAGACAGGGCTGGACCCCCAGAAGGTTTTGCTGGCCAAGCAGAAGTACCTGAAGAAACAGGAGAGGGCCAGAGTGATGCCCTCCCAGCGGAGGAAGTCTTTGTTCATGAAAACCAAGGTAAGTTGGGCTAGGAACAGCCTCCATGGCACCTCGTGGCAACACCAGAGTCCCCATATTCACTGCCTGGTGAGCGCCAAGTACACTCCTCCAGGTCAGGCTGCCAGCTCCCAGCCCACCCTTACGCTCCATGGCCCCCGTATTTGAGCTAACACAGGCTCGAACCTAGCACAATGCATTTTCGGGGGTGCCCAGCTTACATGGACGTGCTGGGGGGAAGCACACTCGGACAAACAGAACGGAGCCCATTTGTTTCCAAACCCTGAGCAGGGGGCTGGGCTGCCCTTCTGGAGGATGGCAGAGAAGCTCATACCACTAGGTTCAGGCCCCCCTCTCCCCTCCCCCAGACTGTGTCTCTGCAGGAGCTGCAGCAAGACTTCGAGAACGCCACCCCCACAGACCCCAACAACAACCAGACCCCTGCCAATGGCACCAACGTGTCCTACATCACCCTCAGCCCCGACAGCTCCCCGGCTGCTCGTTGCGAGGCCCCGGCCCCTGCTGAGGCCCCGACGGAGCCCACAGACCTGCTGGCCAGCGTCCCACCCTTCGTCACCTTCCACACCCTCATCCTCGACTTGAGCGGGGTCAGCTTTGTGGACCTGATGGGCATCAAAGCCCTGGCCAAGGTGAGGCCACCGGGCAGGGGGTGCAGGCCCATCTCCCCCTCAGCCGCACCCCTGTCTTCCATAAGACCTTTCCCTGGAGCCCCCGTGCGGACGAGCTAAGGGAGCCATTTGCCATGGAGGCGAAAGTCACCAAGGGACCCCCCTGTCCCCGGGGACTGATGGTATCTACGAGCAGGCACAGACAGCCTGGAACCCAAGGCTGGGTTGGGACTGGACTTGTTCCGTCCAGCTGCCTTCTCTGGTGGAGATTCCGCACTTCCTGTCAGGCTCCACTGCCCGCCCCACGGCCTCTGAGTGGAGCCCATGTAGGTCCCTCCCCACTCACCCAGACCTGCCAGCCTCAGCCTACCCAGAAACGGGGAAAGAAGTCACCCCCGGGCCCCCTGGATTTCAGCCCAGGGACCGGCTGGCCACGGGAAGCTTGACTGTGTGTCCACGGGAGAGCTCCTCAGTCGGGGAAACTGAGGCTGCATGGAAGGATCCTTTCCGAGCAGGTGCTCCACCTGTCCCCTCGACTGGACCTGTATGCAGTGTAGAGGGTTCAACTGAGGTCCTGACTTCTAGGCCACAGGCCACAGAGCCAGGAGGAAGGAGGGGTGTGGGTGTGGGAGCCTCTGAGGAAAGCGCCATGAGAAGGGCTGTGGGGACTCGAGAGCCCTCCCTGTTGGCAAGGACCCACTTCCGCCGCTTCCCAGAGGCGCCGACACTCCAGGCAGGAGGGGTGGCTCTGCTGCTATTTTGGTCTCCGGTCTCTCAGGCTTGCTTGCTTGTTGACTTCCCCTCTTCTGAAGTGTTGTTTTGTGGGTCACTCTGAGACCAACTTGGAACATTCCTTTCCTTTTGTCTCCCCGCTCCCCCACACTTGCAGCTGAGCTCCACTTATGGGAAGATTGGGGTGAAGGTCTTCCTGGTGAACATTCATGGTAAGACGCAGAGGACGCAGGAAGGTTGGCATAATCCTGGGGTGGGGGGTGGGGGAGTGACAGGGTGGCATGGGGGCGGACACTGAATAGTAAGGGGTAGCAAGGAGAGCACCCCCAAACTACTGCCTGCTCCTAAGAGCTCTAGACACAGTCTAAGGAGACAGTGGCCAGATTGTGCAATTACCCCCCAAGGGCTCCCTAACAGACTGGGCATCACAGGCTTCAGAAAGAACCCCTAGGCTTGGCATTGCTCCAGATCTGAACCATGAGTCTCCCCGACCTAGCGCACACACCCTAAGTACCCAGGAAACACACACACACACACACACAGACTCCCTCGCACCCACATCCACACCCACACACCTGCACGCACCTGCAGTCACGTGCACACACATACACATGCTCACCTGTGAGAGCCCCAGGAGAGGTTGCCCTTTCCAAGGGCCTGAGGCCCCACTCAAGAGACTCTGCAAGGACAGTGATGTCACTGTACGCACCCCAGAGTTAGGATCTGTGAGCTCCTCCCACTGTTACCCCTCAGGAAATCGTGCCCAGGAGCAGAGCCGTGAGGCTCTGTCAGGTTGGAGGGTGCAGGGCAGGCTGGAAAACAACAGGCGGGTGGGCAGGCAGAGGGTTGAGCAGGCGGCAACCTCAAGCCTACGTCATCCTTTCCTGCGCCTCTTGCTCCTCTGGCCACCCTCGGGTCCACAGTGCCCTCTGCTGTTCGGGCCCAACATGACAGACAGGCCCTTGGACACAGCAGCGTGAGGCCCCTGGCGTGTTTCTGCCCACAAGCTGGGCCCCAGCTCTGGCCTGCCCTGGCAGCCAGCACTCCAAGGTGCCCTCCCTGCTTCCAGCCCAGGTGTACAAGGACATCAGCCACGGAGGCGTCTTTGAGGACGGGTGCCTGGAGCACCAGCACGTCTTCCCCAGCATCCACGATGCGGTTCTCTTCGCCCAGGCCAGCCCCAGAGGAGCAGCCCAGAGGCAGGGCTTCCCCGAGGTAAGCGCCCGTGCTGGTATCTCAAGGCCAGGCCCAGAGGCCGCCAGGCAGGAACAGTGGGGCTTTTAGAAAGAAGCAGAAGATGGGGTGCCAAGGCCAAGCCTGTCTTACCTGGAGCTGTCTTTTGAGTGTCCCTAAATGCACCTGAAACTGCCTCAAAGTGGTTTTCTCTTGCTTTGGTTTTAAGAGTATTATTTTGTCAATGGCTGAAGTGATAGCAGAGCGAGTAGGGCGTTTGCCTTGCATGTGGCCGACCCGGGTTCGATTCCTCTGTCCCTCTCGGAGAGCCCGGCAAGCTACTGAGAGTATCCTGCCCACACGGCAAAGCCTGGCAAGCTCACTGTGACGTATTCCATATGCCAAAAACAGTAACAAAAAGTTTCACAATGGAGGCATTACTGGTGTCCCCTCAAGCAAATCGATGAACAATGGGAGGACGGTGCTACAGTGCAGTGCTACATATGATAATCATATTTTTATATCACTTGACAGTGCACTTTGTTTTGTTGTGGCGGTTGTGTGTGGGGTTTTGGTTTTTGGTGGGTTTTGTTTTTTTGATTTGTTTTTCCATGGAAAACACACCTGGTGGTGCTCAGGACTAAGTCCTGGTTCTGCACCCAGGGATCAGCCCTGATGGATCTTGGAGGACTGATCACACAGGGTCAAATCCAGGTCAGAAGTATGCAAGGCCTTAACTTACTCTACCCTCTCCAGGCCCCAAGTGGGTTTGGGAGGGGGGAAGTTGGTAATTTAAAAAAAAACTTTGTTGTTTTGGTGTATTGGGGCGGGGCCATACCCAGCGGTGTTCAGGAGCTATTCCTGACTCTGTGCTCAGGGGTCACTATGGCAGTGCTTGGGATATAGGCAAAGTATCTGATATGCAAAGCCCCTTAAGCTATCATTCCAGCCCCTTACAACTTTTGCTAATATCAATTTTCAGATCACTCAGACACTCAGGTCAAATTAGGTTAAGCCCTCGGCTTACTCACCCTCCTCCTCCTTCTATCTGAGCTCAGAGCCCGTAGGCTGGGGTTGGGTGAAGAGACTGATCCTAACGTGGTCTCAGATTCGCGGCACATAATTGACTAGCTCAGTAAGTGATGGTGAGCTACATAAACCTAGAAAAATTCCACCCCCCTGTGGTTCCTGCCCAGGTTCTCCCAGAGTCCCAGTTCAGCCCCTGCCCTTGGCCGCCTGAGTCCCGCCCCCCCCCCACCCCAGCCATGCCCCAGGCCTTAGCCCTGGGTGGGGAGATGGGGGCCATCAGAGAGGTTCTTCTAGCTCTAGAGCAACCATTTGCCATAGGATGGGGTGAAACAGACTGTTCTCGGATGGCAGCTGCCCTGGGGAGCACAGGCCCTGGCACCTGTCCAGACCCTCAAGGGAGCTTGAGACGCTCTGAAGACTTTCTGGCTTCATAAAATCTCCATGGAGTTGCCAGAAGCGTCCTCGCCATTTGCAATTGCACACACACAAAATAAATCCAGTTGTTGATGTATTTAAGTGATAGCATAGCAGGTAGGTCTTTTGCCTTGCACCCGGCTGACCCTGCTGACCTGGTTCGATTCGTCCGCCCCTCTCGGAGAGCCTGGCAAGCTACCAAGAGTGTCTTGCCCACACGGCAAAGCCTGGCAAGCTACCCATGACGTATTCGATATGTCAAAACACAGTAACAACAAGTCTCACAATGGAGATGTTACTGGACCCGCTTGAGCAAATCGATGAACAATGGGAGGACAGTGCTACAGTGCTACAATGGTAGACATCACATAGGGTGACTTTGGCATCACAGAATATACTCGTAGGTGTCAGTTACTGGCTTCTCTCAAGAGCATAGCCACTGTGGGGGGCCACGGGAGCAGACACAGAGCAGTCCAGGCAGCTAGCCAGTGATTCTCGTATGCTAGGAAACACCGCCCACCTCCAACATGCCCACAAAGGAGAGCAGGTACTGAGGTATGTCTGTCCAGAGCAAAGGGAGGACTCAGGAGACTGGAGAGGCAGGGGAGTGCGGAGGGGAAAAGCAGCCACACTGCTGAACCACCTGGCACCGCCTGAGCCACCTCCACCCTCGCTCACCCTCACCCTGCACTTTTCCCCTCCCAGGCTCCAGAGGACCCCGAGCTCTCCTTGTACGACTCCGAAGACCAGAGTCCTGCCTACTGGGACCTAGAGCAGGTAAGGAGGGGTGAGGAGGGGAGGGAGGCAGCCCCCAAGTCCCAGGGGGCTGGCACTGGGCTCTCTCACCTCTAAGCCAGAGCAATAACCTTGAAGGTAACGGCATCTTTCTTTTAATAGCAGAGCTTAATTCTTCTCAGCCCCTGAGTGGCATCATGGGGGAAGGGAAGGATGCTGGGCCAAGTTCTAGAGACCTGACAGCTATTCTTAACCCTCTAGCACATCCCACATGATCTTGGGGCAAGCCACGTAACACCCGTGGCTCCAGTTCTTATCACTGTAACTTAAGGAAAATAGGGGTAACACCTGCCCCTCTGCCACATGTGAGTTGCAGAGAAGTCCCCTGTTCTTCCACTGACTCAGCAGGTATTTCTGCAGTGACTCTGAGTGCCCTGTCCCAGTACCAGGGCAGCCGTGTATCTGTGTACACACATACACACACATACACACGCGCGCGTGCGCGCGCGCACACACACACCAGTGCCCTGCAACGCGACAAACAGAAGGATCAGGTGAATACTAGGGGTACATGCTCTGTGGGTACCGGCCTGAGAGCTAAGAGCCATGCAGAGGGAAGCCTTTCTCTCCGCTCTGGATCCTGAGGTCCTGCCCGAATGGCCATAACTAGAATAAAACACACAACTAGGCTGAGAGAAATGGTGCTTTGGGTTGAAGAGGAATCTCCTCCCAAACGATGCTGTTTCTTTAAGTTTTATACCCAATGGGCCCTCTGAACCCATCATTGAGAGGGCAGGAAATAAAGCCGATGCTGCTAAGAGTTAGCAGGCCAGGACCCCAGGGAGACTAAAGAGACTCACCTCGGGGAGAGAGGGACACAAAGACCTGCACACACTAGAGGCGTCTCAAGCCAGTCTCCAGGCATCTCCTCCAAATGCCTCTGGAACCTTCTCTCAGGCTGGCCTTGTCCCTGCTCCGTGTCTCACACACACTGATTTGCGGGGCCCCTCTCGGCCGGGCCCACAGATCCGCAGGCTCTGACACTGACACGCATGACATGCTCCTTCTCTCCCCTTCCCCAGGACATGTTTGGGAGCATGTTTCATGCAGAGACCCTGACCGCCCTGTGAGGACCCAGTCGGGCCCCATGTTACCCCCAGAGCACCAGCCACCTTGAACTTCCAGAAAGGAGGAGCCTGGACATGCATGAAGAGGACATAGAGCCCAGGACTCCTCTCTCTGTCTTCTCCGAGGCCCTCTTCCCCGCTGCCCACATTTCTGGAGCCAGCGCAATTGCCCTGTACCTACTTACTGGCCCTCCTGCCTTGCTCAGTGACCCCAGCCGTGAAGAACCAGAGAAAGGAGGGCACAGCTGGCCTTGGTGAGCCTCTGTGTCAGAGGACCCAGGGACCACCTTGCCTCAACTATCCCTGGCAGCTGAGCATCCAGGAACCTCTGCCTTATTGACTAGACCTACACACACATACACACACACACACACACACACACACACACACACACACACACACTCCCTTCCTCCATATCTCAAGGCGCTGGGATCCCTTTGCTATCAGCACCTCAAATTCTGGCCTGGGGAGTGGAGTACCCTCAAGGCCACAAGCACTACCTCCCCCTGGGCAGCCACCCCCATCCTGAGAGCACCATTGCCAGCTGCTCCCTCTTGCTTTCATCGGGTAGAAACCCCAAAGGGATGAGGCAGTAGCAGGCAGAACCCTGGGGCAGCAAAGCACCCATTACTAGTTATCCTGCAGAACAGCATTGGCAATCCCTCCTGTATGGGAAACTTGGAGGGGAGGGGTGCTAGTGCCAACCAAGGGCAAACTGGCAGAACCTGGGTTTTGTCTGATGCCCCCAAACTCAGAGCCTATCCAGAAAATGCCTCCCCTCTTTGAAGATCTGCTTTGTTCTTCTTCTCTTGCAAAAGGATTTTAACTACCCCAAATCAGCTTAAATCCTTCACTGGGCAAAGGGGGGAATTCCCCCGTCAAGCCAGCTGCACCCCATTGTGGGCACAGTTGCACCCAGTGTGGGCACAGATCCTGGGGAAGTCCCAGCAGGGCTTTCCTAATCAACTCAGGACCCAAGGCCAGTGTCTAGGAAAGGTGTGAGTAGGGGTCAGTACATAAGGAAATAACATGTACATAAGGAAATAACTAGAGAAATCCCACTTTGTTTTGGTGGGGCGGGGAAGGGGGTGTGTTTGTGTTTGTCTGTTTGTCTGTTTGTCTGTTTGTTTAGTTTTTGGGCCACACCTGGCGATGATCAGGGGTTATTTCTGGCTCTGCACTCAGGGATCATACCTGGTGGTGCTGAAGGGACCATATGGGATGCCAGGGATTGAACCCGGGTTGGCCATGTGCAACACAAGAGCCCTACCCTCTATCCTATCTCTCCAGCCCAAGGAACCCCACTTCTGATTTCAAAATAAATGGGTTCCAAGGGCAAGAATTCTGGAAATTTTCTGGATTTTTCTGGAAATGCACATAAACCTTTCAGTCTCTCCCCACTGCTGCTCCCACTTGTTGAACCCTGCCCAGCAGGTTGGGCTGGCCCAGCCTGGGAACGTCCCGATCTCCCCCACTTCAGTCTGACCTGCACTGCGTGTCTGTGTGCAGCTCAGCTGGTCAGCTAGCTAGTCTTCTTAGAGTTAAAGGACGGGGCGCTGGCCACGAGCCTACAGATTCTTGGCCACGAGCATTGCTTCTCTGGGAACTCATCTGAACTGCCAGTGGAAGGCAGAAGACAATGTTATCTGGATCCACTGTGCCCAGCACTCCCAAGTGCCAAATTCCAGGAGGACAGGAACCTTAACCAATGACAAATCACCCTCCCCTGCTCCACCTCCTTCAAAGTCCAGCTCAGACCCAGGAGGTAGGGAAGGTCACGGAGCTCGAGGACAGCCCAAGTGAGAAATTCCCTTTGAACCAAGTGTCTAGGTCCCTGAAGACCTAGTGATGTGACCGTTCATGTCTACTGAGCCTGACTTCAAGGGCATTGCCTGACACTGGGGCTCCAGGAGGGTTGGCCAAGGGTTGAAGTGCACCAGGAGCCCAAGGGAGCACGTGGGGCAGAGGGAGACACTGACGAGAATGTACTGTTGAAAGACCTTGGAAAGAATACAGATCACACAGAATCTCTCTGGACACGGATGGGGCAGAAAATAATCCAGAATTTCAATACTTTTGAAGGTTCTTCATGATACTAACCTGTGATGATGTGGTTCCCGGGGAAGACCGGGCTTCTTGAGATACTTGTGTAATTTATTTAATTTAAAAACCATTCTCCTTTTGTTCATTTTGTTAATAAAGTGGTATTCAAACACGAAGAAATATATGTGTCTGGGTATGTTTAAAGAGAGACAAAATAGGGTACCTCTGGGAAAGCTGGGCCTGCACGGCACTGTTCTTCCTTGGAACAGAGGGTGGCAAGGAGTAAGCCTTCTTATATTCTTTCTGGTTTGGGGACCACAGCTGGTGGTACTCTAGGCTATTCCTGGTTCAGTGCTCAGGGGTCGCTCCTGCAATGCTTGGGGAGCTTTGTGGTTGCACTTAGCTTTCTGCTGCCGCAGAAGCTGATATTCTTCTGGGAGATTCCCAATTCCTCTCCCGGTGCTGGTTTCCCACCTCTGGGAACAGATCAAAACCCATGACCCTGTTGCAGAGCAGAGATTGTGGAGGGAAGATTAGAGGACAGGATCCACCTGCACTGGGTGTTCCCAGAGCCTACGGTAACTTGTGTAGCTACTAGGAAGGGCAAAACCTGCCTTATGTGCATGCTTCCGTGCTGTCTTCTGCATTCAGGATGAGAGTCAGTCCCATCAACTTAGAATCCAAGCCTTAAGAATCCTTAGCTAGGGAGCTGGGGATATGGTTCAGGGTTAGGAACTTGCCTTGCACATGTGAAACCCTGGTTTCAAATCCTGGCACCATCAATATAACTAAAGCTGCAGACTCATTTTGTTTTTTTTTTTAAATTTAATTAAAGAATTGTGATTTATAAAGTTATTGATAGTTGAGCTTTGTTTGGCTTTGGTTCTAGGCTCTTCTTTTGTGGCCACACCTGGCAGTCCTCAGAACTTATTTCTGGTTCTGCACTCATGGTAGTTGGGGGTGCCATATGGATTGCCAGGATTGAATCTGGGTCCGCCGCCTGCAAAGAAAGCGTAGGTAGCCTACCTGTGGTTCCAGCCCTGATTATTGAATTATAGATAAGGAATTTTCTAGCACCAATCCCACCACCTGGATTACCACCACCAATCCCCTGGTTCCCTTCCTCCCCCACCACCAGACACATTTTAAAGTTTGGTGGTTGTCATTTGGACCTCATATTTTCAGTGTTGCTGAGCCTGTGGTTTGGATATATAGCTATTCCACACACTACATTATCAGAGTACCCAAGGGCCCTGCCCTCTGCTCCCCTGTTGCTTCCCTTCCTCATCCTGTCCCTCCACCACATGGCTTTTTCCTTCTCTGTCCTTCTCCCTGTACTCTGTGGTCAAGGATGATCTAGACACCAGTTTAGGTTTGGGGGATTTGGGGTTTTCTTTTTGTCTTTCACCACAGAAAAATGATTGTGAAAGCTTCAGTTCTACATCAGCTCCAGGGCTTATCACATGACAGACACATGACAGTCAAAAAGGATGCTTACTGCAAGCTGGTGAGACAGCACAGCAGGGAAGGTGCTTAATTTGCATGTGGCAGACCTGAGTTAGATTCCTGGCTTCCCATATGGTCCCCCAAACACTGCCAGAAGTGATTCCTGAATGCAGAGCCAGGAGTAACCCCTAAACATCACTGAGTTTGTCCCAAACCCCACCACCACCACCAAGAACAGAAAACAAGGATGCTATTGGCAAAAAGCTGACAGGTTGGAGGATGATGGACTCACAACCTTAAAGTAACCATCTTGTCTACACTGCATGGTCACAGGAAGGGGTTTTCATAAGGAGCGGGGGGTGGGGCTAGGGAAGGGAGAGTTGCAAGTCAGTGAGTGCCAGGTTGAACAGTATATGCCCCTCCCTGCGGCATGCTCCATTTTATCTGCAAATGTATACAAAGATATTTGGAGGGAAAGGTAAACTGGGGGGAAATTGGCCTTAGTTTTAGTTTGGGGAGCAAGGATCATTGTCTAATTCTGATCTTTGACCAAGTTTCAAGGATAGAGAATGAAGTTAAATAGTTTTATTAAGGGAAAATACTAATCCTTCGGGAGTGGGTGGAAATTGGGGAGTTGGGGCTCACCTGAAGGTGTTCAGGAGCTTTGGGGATCAAGGATTGAACCAGGGTCAGTCATGTGCAAAGCTATCACTTAACTCCTCTACTGTTTCTCCAGCCAGGGGAAGGGACTGTTTCTAAGAAGAATGTGTGATTTTTCCAGAGTGAGAGAGAGAGAGAGAGATGTCAAAAAAGTAAAGGGAATTTTTGTCCTACAGGACACAAGAAAGGACAGGAATGATAGTATAGTGGGTAGAGCAAGGCAAATGCTCTACCTTGCATTTGGACAACCTGGATTTGATCCCTGGCATATAGTCCCACAAGTACCACCAAGAATAATTCCTGAGTGCAGAGCCAGGTGTAACTCCTGAGTATCACAAGGTGTGACCATAAAAAAATAAAACAAAACAAACAAACAAACAAAAAACACAGGTACCCCATCCCACCCCCCCCACACACACACACCGAGGAGAGATTACACAAACACAGAGTTGACCCTAGAGAGGGCTTGCACAGAGCTACTTTGTAAAACTGAATATATCCTTTCCAAGTGCCTTGTCCTAGGCTCCAATATGAGTTTCTTGCTAGGGCATCATCAAAGAGAAAGAATTTTGGCCTTAGTGACCTGCATTTAGAGTCTTATCAGATAAATTATCTCCAGAAGAGTTCAACCTTTGAGTCTGGGAAAGATTCCATCTTGAGTTGAACATCTGTCTGGTCTTAAGTATTGACTGGGTCATTGGATTCTCCAAACAGAGCAGGGTAACTTCTTCTCAGATACCATTTTGGCTTTTTTGTTTGTTTATTAGTTTGAGGGCCACACCTGGTGATGCTCAGGGGTTACTCCTAGCTCTATACTCAGGAATTACTCCTGGCAGTGCTTGGGGGACCATATGAGATGCCAGGAATCAAACCTGGGTCGGCCGCGTACAAAGCAAGCGCACTACCCGCAGAACTGTCTCTCCAGTCCACCCATTTTGGTTTTATGATTGGGATTTTTATTTTTTAATTCAAAAATCCTTTTACTTACAAAAATGTGATAATCACTTATAAATTGATATTTTCTAATTCATTTAGCCCCTGAGGAAAAAACCTGAGATAAAAATTCACTTATGTGCAAATAT